GTGTCCATGATTGAACTCCATAGAGCAACACTGTAACACGTAGCATCTCAACAAACGGATTTTTGTTTTTAAGGGTAGGTCGTGGCTCTTAAATATCTTGATCATTCTAACAAACGCTGACCTGGCTTTTTCAATTCTCTGTTTTATCTCAACTGAGTGGAGTATTTGTTGCTGATCTACCAGTAATTGTCTGGATGGAATATGCATAAATATAGTGCAAACCTTATATTGGAACCAAAGTGCCATAGTTCAGATTGATGGGCAACACTCACAAGAAATGAGGATCTGTAGAGGAGTTAGACAGGGACGTGTTTTATCACCACTTTTGTTTAACTTATATTCTGAAGAAATTTTGCAAAACACGCTCAATAATATCGAAACGGTAGTCACCGTTAACGGAAAATTAATTAACAACTTAAGATATGCAGACGATACTGTGATCATAGCAACGAGTATAGAGGATCTACAACATCTTATCGAAAGCTTAAGTATGAATAGTGCTGAGATGGGAATTACTATAAACATTAAAAAAACTAAGTACATGCTGATTACAAAAAGACCACAAAATATACGTCACCTATTGACAATCAATGGTAACGTAATAGAACAAGTAGAAAAATATCAGTATTTGGGAACTTTGATCAATGAAACCAATGATCATACTGTAGAAATAAACAGGCGAAAAGAGATTGCCAGATCAGCATTTATACGAAAGAAGCCACTCCTAACGTGCAACAATCTAAATTCGGAGATCTACGTACCATTCGCTGTTATATATTTTCAATATTATTATATGGAGCTGAGACTTGGACATTAAAAAAATGTAATTTAAAAAGAATCGAGGCCTTCGAACTCTAGTTATACCGCAGAGTATTGAAAATATCATGGACTGATAAAATTACAAATAAAGAAGTACTGGAGAGGGTTGGTAAAGCAACAGAACTAATGACCACTTTACAAACCAGAAAACTGGAATACCTAGGCCACGTGAAGGACCAAAATATAAAATTTTGAGACTAATAATACAGGGAAAGATTCAAGGAAGAAGATCTGTTGGCCGAAGACAGAACTCATGGTTAAAGAATCTTTGTGATTGGTATCAATGTAGATCGATTCATTTATTTAGAGCAGCAAGTTCTAATATAAAAATAGCCATTATGATTGCCAACCTCCGTAGGGAGACGGCACTCTAAGAAGAAGAAGAAGAATATGCTTCTTACTGATGACCATGTACATGGTTTTCTTGATGTTAAAATCAAGCCCGTTCTGCTGACTGATTCTCCGCAACTGCGTTACATTTTTTTTTAATATGTAATAATATTAACATATTTTTGAGGGAAAAATAAATTAGCACCCTAATGTCAAGAGGAACTGGTGTTAGTGCTAGAACTGTACAAAATATTTTAAAAAGGAACAAGATATGATATGCTACAAATTGCATAAAACTCCTTTTTCGACGGATAGTATTTTGTGAGCACATGATAGAACGCAAGATTTAAGGAAAAAAAATCTTGTTTAAAGTTGAGTCTTCTGTTTTTCTTAACTGGCCGTCACAATTCATCTGTTACCGTCATAGGCATACTCTTCAGAAAATAGGCACATAAGTATTCTTTACAAAAAACAATACCGTCAAAAAGTCAACGTCGAGCAGAGTTCGAACAAAACTTATTAATATGGATAAAATTTAGTTTCAGCAAGATGGTTGTTCACCTCGTACTGCACAGGAGGTGTTATATTTTTCAAACATTACGTTTCCAGATAGAGTTATAAGTACAAAAGGTGCCATAAAAATGTCACCTCGCTCTCCTGATCTTTCACCTTTCTACTTTTTTGTATGGGGGTCTATAAAGTAACAAAATTACCGACATAAGAATGAACGTGTCGGAAATTTAGACTAATTAAGGCAAAAAATCAGTTGGCAATTATATAATAGATTGAGTTACTGCTTGGCTGAACGTGGTGGACTTTTTGAAAATTTAATTTAAAATAATTTTAATTAAAATTGTTATTTTTAGAATGGATTCTTCTAATTTATGCCGTTAAGATTTTATTTTGTTATTTCTAATGAATTTAAATTAAAGAAACTGTTGATTTAATCTATGAACCTGCTTTTGAATCTTGCAATCACACCATTGAAATTGTAGCATTTCGATTTACCTTCGTATGTATTAAAGCACTGCAAAATATTCTCAATCTTTTTGCATCGCTGAGATTGATAATATAAACAATTTTGGTTTTTTTTTTTATAAAGCACAGATTGGTATTTCGTGTTTGATCTTGATGCCGCCTGGAGATTTGCGCATCAAATAAATAGGAATATCTCCGTTTATGCTTTGTTTATACCGGGTTGTAAAGAGATAGCTTTTGGTATGTAGTATTCAAAGCCGGTAATTTTGATGAGAAGTGAATTTGAGCTTCAGATGCTATTTAGCAGTTTTTGTTAAGTTAATCACTGATTGGTTGTGCTGTGCCGTATGTGGGACATTTGTAAGACGGCGTTTCCAACCATTTGGGACGTCCACATTGTTTTAAGAAGGAATTGAGTTGTACTTGCCTATATTGTGTTCCATGATCAGCCCAGACCTATTCCAGTTTGTGTGGGACACAATTGTGTGTTGTTTACATTGTTTTGTTTCAAATGCACGCCCAAAAACTTTTTTAAAGGAAATACATCAACCAGTGATACCAGGTACTTTTTATTAAAATTATTCAAAGTAAAAATAAACAATTTTTCATTAAAAATTTGCTTTCATGGCAAACTAAAAAATTATAAATAAATAAAACTATAATCTTTATGGATAAGCTAATTGTCATATTAGTCTTCTTTTCTACATATGACAGTCAGTATTATCAGTTTCTGACATTTGGTACATACCTAACCATAATTTTGAAATTTGTTTTGTTTAAAGGTTAACCTGAATGTAAGCTCCTTTGAAGAATTGTTTTGATTGATTGATTGAATTGAGTTTTGTTAATATTATATATTATAACTGTTGATGTAAAGTAATAATAATTATGTAATGTTTCTCTCTAAACCAGGAGTTGTAGAATCATTTCCTTTAAAAATATTTTCACCCTTTAATATTTTTCAGAAAAGAAAAGCCTTTCTATCCAGCGAGAGGATTCTTTTAAACGGCGTCCAAATTCAAATTTTTAAGAATTTTGTTGTGTTTTGTTTTCCAGGAAATCTATGTAAGTATTTTCTTTATTTTTTTCCTTATAGTTACCCTATCGAGTCTTTTATTCACTTACTTACGACCCAGCTCTCCAACCAAAACAAGAGTGACCGTTGGCAACCGTTTCAGTTGATTTGCTTACCCCATATTCAGCCCAGTAACTGCTCAGTTCGCACTTTCAATCCCCCATAAGTGATACCCAATGTGGTAGGCCAATAATTATATCGTTAATACAAATTATTTCCCCAAACCATCTAAAAAATAAACTTGCTTTGGACATCAATGTACAGACAAGACTGGCCATAGTACTTACAGATCTATCACAGACATGTTTTTATATGTTATTGTTTCGAAAATATAAGTCAATATAATATTTTTTCTTGATTCGTTGCATTGTCTTAATGCCCTATAGTCAGATTTTTTTTTATTCCTGTATATATATATTAGCCTAACAGCTGCAGTGAGAATGTACTCTGGTGAAACAAACACATTTTTAAAAAACATTTTCCAAACAAGGGTATTAGGCAAAGAGACACAATATCTCCTAAACTATTCTCTATAAATTACTCACTGCTTGATTACATATGCTATGAGAAACAATAATTTGGAAAATATTGGAGTCAACATAAATGGAGAGTTTCTGAAAAACTTGACAATTGCAGACGACATAATTCTTACTGCAGACCGGGTAGATCATGCCTATCAACTTCTTTAAGACCTTCAGAGCTCTTGTACATGAGTTGGCCTTAAAATGAACTTTTTAAAAACACAATACATCACCAACCTTGTACTGGTCAAAAATATTTTAACTAAAGCAAATATTTTAACTAATGCAACACAAATTGCAAAAGTGTATACCTATAGGTATCTGGGCCCCTAGATTAAATTATGAGGAAACAATCAAACAACAGAGTTAAATAGGAGAATAGGAGTAACATGGGCAGCTTATGCTAAACTAAGTATCTTTACATCAGATATACTCATGTACTTGAAAAGAAAAGTCTTTAATCAGTTTATGCTCCTAGTTCTAACGTAAAGCAGAATGATTGACTCGTGTCAGAAAAGTAGTCAATGGGATAAAAGTGGCACAGAGAGTAATGAAAAGGTCAATGTTAAATATATCCCTTAAACACAAAATTTTAAATCAAACAGTTAGGAGAAAAAAGTGTGTTATGAACGAGATTAAAAAAATTAGAACGCTGAAATTGAAATGGACAGGACATGTTGCCAGATTCAGAATGGGCTGCCGGTTTCGCTGTTTACAAACTTTTACAGCATCTTCAGGTCCTCAAGAATCTAAAGCGAAGATACATGGTGTATAAACGAATGAATGAAAAATGTAGATAGAATAAAATCGAATTGAAATATGTATGTGTGCTTTAAACTTATATTAGATATTATGGTTCCATAGACCAGCTTAACTCTAATGTTAACTGTATGAGTCATACTATTTTAATAAAATAAAATAATGTATGGTATGATAAATAAAGGAAAGAAAATACTCGTCATTTGAATAAGAAGAAGATTAATTTGATATATTATGCAGACTTCTACACATTCCTAATGAAATGCAAGCAAAAAAGTCAGACTTAAAATATAAATATGCAAAGCTATAGATATCAGTTATTAACTATTCTGCTAAAGGAAACATTTTTAAAACAAACGTGCTTAAATATTCAAAAAATTTATTATTACGACCTTATGTTATCTACTATTTATTTACAATTTTAATTTATTCAATAACCAATTAAAAACGTTGCTATAAAATAAAGTATTTGGTGACATACCTCAAGAAGGTACCAAAAAGATGCGTATGGTACCAAAATGACTAAGCCCATATTATTCGTGAGTGTTATTTTAGCAGCTGTAGTTTCGAGCAACGCAGGATATATTCAAGATATTCTGTCCTCTGTGAACTCTGAGTACGACTTCATTGTTATAGGAGCAGGTTCGTAAAAAACGTATAGACTGTAACAAAATGTATACTTTTCTTTTTGCGTCCTTTTCTTTAGCGATCACGTAGATTTTCAGATTTTTGACTATACATAATATTACACACATAATTTTTGACTATTGAAGCATATACAAACTAGTTTTTATCTACCTATATATCATCATCAGATATTCCATCCAACCTTCGATGTAAGCACCCCTAAGTGTGTTTATTAGTGTCTGTTTTTTTGTAGCAATTCTTTTCCGATATTCTTTTAATGTCCATCTGGCTTGAGGCCTGTCTGTGGTTCCCTTATGTTCTCTTGGTTTCCATTTGATAATTGAAGGGTTTATTTCAAAATCAACCAATGTCAAACAAAGGAAATTTTATGAAATTAATAAAAACTTTATAAGTTTTTATAAGTTTTTATTAATTTTATAAAATTTCCTTTGTTTGACATTTGTTGATTTTGAAATAAACCCTTCAATTATCAAATGGAAACCAAGAGAACATAAGGGAACACAGACAGGCCTCAAGCCAGATGGACTGGTGACATTAAAAGAATATCGGATAAGAATTGATACAAAAAGAACAAACACTAATAAACACGCTTAGGGATAAAACTGAAACCAATGTTTTTTTTAATTTTCATGAATATATACAAACAAATATTCTTTAATATACTAGGGATAAGAAAAGGGTATTTACTTTTAGAAACAATAATGAAAAACACTTTGACATTTGCTGTTTTTGACTGAAATAAGTACAAAAAAATCCCATGTTTTGCTGTAAATATTTTATTATCCAGTACATAGATGACAACATTGTATGCTTTTTTAAGCATTTGAGTTACTCGCATCTAGTGTCAGCGTTATATTGTGAATTTTCACAGAACTAATAGCAATCAGACACTCATATAATCAATAATTATCAGAGTCTATGGCATTAGCCAATGCTCTCTTATTACGAACAGTATAGTGAGTCCATGGACTAGAACAGTGTTTCCCAAAGTGAGGGTCGCCATGGCGTACTAGGGGGGTCGCCGAACATTTCTAAAATAAGACAAAAGCACCACTTTGTTAGATCATGTATTTTTGTTTTAACAACGCCGTAAATAGAAATTAACAATTAATTATCAGACGAAATATAAAACTAAATATTAAAGTCCTTAAAAATAAAAGAGTAAAACAAAGTCAAATATTATAATCTTAATGAGAGCTATGCGGCTATTTCTGTGAAACTGATCTTTCAAATCTAGGCTGTGTATTTGAGACACACACAATTATATCATTTTCAAGTATGAGACGATTTCTAACTCCACGAGGAAACTAAGTTCCTGTAGCTGGCTGTATACCATATATCACAAAAAAATTTTGTTAAAATCCTTTATAAAAGGTATATAAAAATGCCTCAAACGGGCTATCACAAACACATTGCAAAACGTTTTCGGATTAAACAATCTATCATCAGTGCAAACGGTTGTACATGCTAGTAGCCACCAAAATATATGGGTAAAAACCCTATAAATGTTATAAATTTGAAACTGTTTTACATTATTAGTATTTCTAATTTGTGATGGTTAAGTTACCGTTGGATAGGTAACATGGCGGCGTATGACTCTACATGAGTAAAATGGTCCTGAGACGAAGTGTCTACGAGGACCTGTTGATAACAACAACTGAGTTGTTAGTTGTTATATATTATATATATATATATATATATATATATATATATATATATATATATATATATCAAGTGGTGATTCTTAAGGATTCAGTAAGTTTATTTGGCCCACAAGGCAAAGAAAACTCTTTGACTTACTGTCAAGCTTTCGAATTTAATTTAATTTTTTTTTTCAAGATATCTGATAACAAAAAAAGAAATATGAAAATTAACTTGTTAAAATTGTTATATATTATAATTTTCTCTGTCTTAAATAGATTAAAAATCCTGCAATGGAATTGTAGATCTGCTGTCGCCAACAAAAACAGTTTAACACATTTTTTAAACGAAAATGATATTAATGTTGCCTTGTTGAGTGAGATATGTTTTAAACCCGATAAACAATATAATTTTAAGGGTTATAAGATTATTCGTCGCAACCGATATGACGGTTACGCGGGAGTGGCTATACTTATAAAATTAATTCTTCTTTTTCAAAAAATTTGAATTACACAAAATTTTAATGACGATATACTTGTTTGTGGTATCACTTTAAAATTTAATAACTCTGATATTAATTTTGCTTCAATTTATAGATCTCAAGATATTCGATCGACTTCCAAAGATTGGTGTACAATTTTGGAACAATTTAATTTTACTTACATTATAGGTGGTGATATGAATGCACATAACAGTTTGTGGGGTTCACTTAAGAATGATGGCATTGGACACCAACTTATTAATGCCATTGATACTCTTGATTTAGTTGTTCTTAATAATGGCAAAGCAACCTGTCTGACCCACCCGGATGTGACACAATCTAGTGTTGATATTACGTTGTGCTCTCCTGATTTAGCAAAAGAAATTACTTGGGACGTCTTAGATGACACATTGGGATCGAATCATTATGTAGAACAAATGATTTTTTATTCTGTTATTTCTCGTAATGAATACATTCTTCCAAAGCCCAAATGGAATGTTAATAAAGCTAATTGGACCCAATATTCTGATCTGATTGAACAAAACTTTCCTAACTATTCGGACAGCTGGTCTACTTCAGAGAAATATGACTTCCTAATGGAAAGTATTAATAATGCATCTTCTCAATCCATTCCGACATATAAACCCTTTAAAATTATTAAACGACTACCTCCTCCGTGGTGGGATTTTGAATGTAAACAAGTTGTTTCTGATAGGAAAGATGCTTTAAAAACATATAAAAATAACTCTAGTTTCACTAATTACGTACGATGTCAGGAAGTAATGGCTAAAATAAAAAAAGTTCTAAAACGAAAAGCCAAAGAAAGTTGGAAAAACTGGTGTTCATCCTTAAATAAAAATATGCCTATTAAAAATGTGTGGAATGAAGCAAGAAAAATGCAAAGGAAATATACTCCAAGTATTAATTATTTTAATGATGAATTGATTGAAGAATTTTTTGACAAAATAGCACCTCTATCAGCTAATACTGCTATAGAAATTCAAAATAATACTAAACTTCAAGTCACTTTCTTCTAAATCCATTTACACGGGAAGAACTTGACTTTGCGCTAACTAATAGGTCTAACACCGCTCCGGGCTACGATGATATTAAATATTATATTACTTGATATTTTAAATGATATTCCTTTTAAAGATGCAGAAATTTATGTATTAAGAACTGTTATTGTCATACCAATCCTTAAACCAAATAAAGATCTCAACTTGGTACAATCATATAGGCCAATCTCTTTGATGTCGTGTGTTTTGAAGACTTTGGAAAGAATTATCAAAGTTAGACTAGAATGGTGGATAACTTATAATAAATTAGCTTGTCTTGGTTCTCTAGATGCTCTCAGTACTCTCGTGGTAGACATAAACAATAATTTTGGCAGAAACAATTACCTTTCTGCGCTTTTTATAGACGTAGAAAGTGCGTATGATAATATATGCCTCCCCATTTTAAGAGATAAGATGTTGAAATTATTTTATATTCCAAATCAGGTAGTCAACATGATTATTAAATTCTATATTAATAGAAAAATATTTTTAAGAAGTTTTGATAACACAATAATTGTAGGTCCAAGAAATAACAACAACGGACTTTCACAAGGCTTAGTTTTAAGCCATTTACTCTTTAATTTGTATACTGCTGATTTATATCAATTAAGTTTTAATCACATTCCGTTTAAAATAGTACAGTATGCAGATGACCTTTGCATATATTCTAAAAATAAGAAATTTAATATCACTATGGCTTCTCTCAAAGACATCTTTGGTGTTGTTCATGAATGGTTAATATTAAATGGATTTCAGATTTCCTACTCCAAGTCTGAAGTTTTGTGTTTTCAGTAGACACAACATACCTAAATTAAATTACATTGTCCTAGGTTCTTATAATTTTTCCATTAAAGACTCCGTTAAATATCTTGGCATGGTACTTGATAGGAAATTAAGATGGAAAATGAAGATTAATTACATGTTAGTCCGATGTATAAAGGGTTTAAATTTTTTAGAAATGGTTACTAAGACTTGGTGAGGAGTTGAGGTTTAAACCGCCTTACTATTCTATCGTGCCTTTATCAGGTCCATATTGGATTATGGATGTATCTTGTGCGGCTCTGCTAGTTTACAGATTTTAAACAAAATAGATATCTTGCAGAACTCAGTCCTACTATATGTCTTGGTGTCATGAAAACAATTCCAATCGAACCTCTTCATGTAGAAGCTATTGAGCCTCATTCAAATCACAGAAGGCAGTTCCTTGCAGACAAATTGCTTCTTAAAATATTCAGAACCAACAGTAATCTATATTCAAATATAGTAGTAATAAATGAACAAGATTTGATAAATAAATATTGGTCAAAGAAAAATTCTCCACTACTGTGTATCGCACTTCAATCTAATCTTCTTCTTCTTCAAGTGCCGTCTCCATCAATGGAGGTTAGCGGTTATGGTGGCAAACGTTTGTCTATCTTCAGCTGCTCTTAAGAGTTCCTCAAATCCAAGTCCTGTCCAGTTTCTGATATTGCGTAACCAGGACAATTTTTTTCTTCCAATTCCTCGCTTTCCTTCTATTTTGCCTTTTATTATCAACTGAGGGATGTAGTATTTCTCGTTGCGCAACAAGTGCCCTAAATAACTGGTTTTTCTTCATTTGACTGTTCTCAATAGTTCTTTTTCTAAATTGAGTCTAGCTAGTACTTCTTCATTTGTTTTTCGTGCTGTCCAAGGAATTTTTAAAATTCTACTGTACACCCACATTTCAAATGCCTCGATTCTATTTAGGCTCTTTATTTTTAAAGTCCACGTTTCGACTCCGTAGAGAAGAACAGACCAGATAAAACATTTTATAAGTTTTAATCTCAATTTAA